CCTTTGGTTTGGAGAATTTTTTATGATCCTTTGTTATGTAGAGTACAAAGAGCCAAACTTGGTTATAAAATGCAAAACATAGAACCTTTGATGAAATCAGAAGACAATAATATTAGAGTTGGTGTATTGGCGTACGCAGATAACACAACTTGGTTAACAGATAGTCAAAAAAATATGCAGAGTACAATTGACATCGCACAAGAATTCTTCAAGCTAAATGACATTGAAATAAATTCCAACAAAACTAAACTCGTAGTGCTGAAATCGGGTAAAAGAAATCATTTAAAAGATCTCTCAATCTGGATAGAAAATCCAAGGACCAAAATTATAGCAAAAAATCCCAAAGAAACTACAAAATTTTTAGAAGTTTGGATGTCAATCAAAAATCAGAAAAGATCAGATATTTTCAAAGCAAGAAGCATAGTAGGCAAGATCTCAGGCCTACTAAAATACAAACAAATGTCTCTTAGTTAGATTATATATATAAACAATGCAATTCTAATACCCACCTTGGAGTATAGAATAATGGTTTCATGCTTGACCAAGGCACAATGTGAGAGAATACATCAGCCAATGATTCGTTTAATCAAATGGAAAATGTCGATGCCTTCCACAATAGCCAATATAATAACAAAATATCCAAAGACAACAGCCCTCAAAAGTCTTTGGAATAAACATATGGAGCATCATATATTAGAGTTGCTAGTCAGACCAAATACACCAGGTCTTTTAAAAGAATTGACAACAAGAAGGCTCAAGCAAGGTCAGCTAAGAGCAGATTCAATGAAGTGCATCTTAACAAATCAAACCATACTAAAAAAAGAAAAAAATGAAAGGTCGTAATTTGGGGATAAATATTTTACTTTGGGTTTCATTAGTGTTCTGCAAAATGGATCTGGATCAGATCTGCAATTTATAGGTTCTGTCAAATCCGGATCCATAGATAGATCTGACCAGGTAATACCTGATCTGGATTCGGTAAAATATTATATTTGCTAATTTTTTTTCAAGTTATAGCTATTATTATAACTTCTGAAATACCAAGTTATATATTTCAGGAATAATAAGATTCAAGGTGACTAATATCTATTACAACAAGGTTTATTCTTTGGTTTTTGCTTAAATGAAGTCTTTATTAATTTCTAATTATATTTCTAATTTCTTGTTGAAAATGAAAAATATATAAACAATATAAACATATAAAATTTTTTATCTGGATTTCATTTATTATAATTCTTTATGCATTCTCGACAAATATTGAGAATATCTTGGTTGCTTGGAATCCTAACCTGAGATTCATTTTTAAACCAGTCGATTATATTTACCTTTTTTAATAGCGGCACCTGTTTGAGTAATATATTTGTTATAAAAGTCTAATTTATATTTGATTCCTTCTTGTTAAGGTTTATTGATTGACATGAACAGTTTTTTCCATAAATTTCCATACAAACCAAAACACCAAACATTTTTGAACAAGCATTCAAACAAAAATTTAAAAGTTAACATTATTGTCATAACAATCATAAAATGATCAGAATGTGATACAAAAATAGCTTATGGATCTATGCCGAATCAATAACTTAACCGGATCGGCTTAAAAATCATCTGGCAAGTTTTTTATCAGGTGTTTTAGAAGCTATCATTATAATAATAGCTATAACAGATTGAAAAAATGGCTAAGCAGAAAAATACAAAATCTGGTTCAGAAATGCGGCTATTAATCATGCCGTGATAAGCATATATAAAAGCAAACAGGTATAATTTCTTTAAGAATTTATAATTAATCACTTGATTTGGATATTACTAATAATAGCTCTGATTGTTGGGAATTATGACACTAGTCCCAGTTTATATATTAATTAATGTTATATATTCACATGCATACAATGCTTTACTTTTTTTTTTATTAAGATAATCTCTCAAAGAACATGTATTCAACCTTGTTCTTTTTTTTTGTTTATTTAAACATATGAGTTTGACTTTTTTTTTCTATTTTATTAGGGTTTTAGCAAAATAACTCTTTTTTTTAATCTTACACTATTTTATTTGAATCACTATCACATTACAATGGCAGAATTTGATGAATTTGACAAATATGAACTACCTTCTTTACACCAAGAAACACATAGAGACAGGCAATACCCATATGAATCAGACCCAAATGAACTATATGTATATGAATCATATCCAGATGAATCATATCAAGATGAATCATATCTGGACAATTTATATTAGGATGAATCATATCCAAGCAAATCATCCCAAGAAGAGTTAGACAAAGACAAATTATCTTAAGACAAATCATACTCTGATGAGTCACTATCACAAACAGAACCTGTAGAATACGATAAAACTCCTGCAAATACCAAGTAATTGTATACAAAATGAAGTATATTAATTTAAAGTATTTCTTATTTATTAATTTTTATTTTATTTTATAGATCTATTGTGTGGAAGTATTTTAAAAAGCAGAAAGATGGTAAAAGTGCGAAGTGTGATATTTGTAAAAAGCAATATGCTTATAATCAGGGGACAACATCTAATCTTAAAAAATATCTCAAACTGCATAAGAGCAAAATGCCTGAATTGTATAAACCAAATGTAAAAGAGGGTGTCACCGTTCTAGATATATTAAATCAAAATCGTCAACGTGAATCCTTTAATCAAAAAAAATTTACTAGTTTTATTAAGAGTTGAGTTATAAAACGTAATCAATCATTTCAAATTGTTTAAGATAATGAACTTAGATCAATATTTACTTATTTAGAACTCTATGTAGTAGGTAAAAATAGTTTTTAATAATAAACTATAATAATTAATAATAAAAATATAAATAAGGTATAATATTTATGAGTTTTTACAGTACTTTCTGCTGATCTTGTTAAAAGACAAATTACAAATAATTTCAAAGAAGAACGTAAACGGCTTCAACAAAAATTGCAAAAAATTCCTGGATGTATAGCAATTACAACGGATATATGGATGACCTCTAATAATGAAAATTCGTTTATGGCTATTACAATTCATTACTTAGATACATCATGGAAAATTAAGCATATTCTCCTTAACTTTATTTTTATAAAAGAATCACATATAGGTGCTGCAATTACAAGTGCCATGGAAGATTGTCTTCAAAAAAATAAGATTATTTCAACAATAACTTGTGATAATGTGTCTTCTAATATAAAATTTTTAAGTATTTTTTCTAATTCTTTGTCACTAGCCAGTTTTCATTTTAACAGTACACAGCAATTAATACGATACTTTGGCCATGTTTTGAATCTTGCCGTTCAAAGTATTTTGAATATCATAGGAGATAAGTTAGAAAAGGTGGTTATTAATATATTAATAAATTAAAATATAATATATTAATAAATTAAAATAGTTTAAATAATGTTTTTTTGCACTTTAGAGATACAATATGTATAACTAGAAATATATAAATAAATAAATAAATTTTTTTTGTTAGTTGCACGAATTAATTAAAAGTATAAGAGGATCATGAATTCGTCGCAAAAAATTAAAACTATCCAGTAAATTGAAGCCAATTCAAGACATAACTACACGGTAGAATTTCACTTTTTATATGTGTAAATGAGCTTTAGAATTGAGAACAGTGTTAGATGCTATGACTTTTGCAGAAGCGGAATTACGTCAATATGTTTTTGCTAAAGATGAATGGGAAAAAATAGAACTTCTTGTTGAAGTTTTAAAGCCTTTTGAGGATGGTTATTATAAAGTCTAAAACATAATTAAAAAATATATAAAATAAGTATTAATATTTAGTTTTTTAATTTAATAACCATGTTTATATCATTATCTGAATACCTGATGCTTTCAATAGTTGTCCCTCTCTACTATATATTACTTGATACACTTAAAGCAAACAAAAAAAAGATAGTATGCCAAAATGGCTTGTACAAGGATGCGAAGCTGCAATCAATAAGCTTTTAAATTATTGTCAAAAGACAAATATTTTACATCTTTCGGCAGTTGTACTAGACCCATGGCTTAAAATTAATTATTTTGAAGAACACAAATGGCCGTCTCAACTTATTATTCAAATCAGGAATGAGTATATATAATTGCTATACAGAAACTTTGAATCTCTTAATGTGCAGTAACTGCATAGTAACTATATAGTTACGATTAAATTTAATAGTAATTATGTAATTACTATGTCGTTACTACGTAGTTATTGTGTATTAAGATATTTAAGTTTCTGTAAAGTGGCAATAAAGGTAATCAGCTGCCAAGAGAAACCTGTTATTAGGCTTTTATATTGTACTGGATATACAGTACTCCTATAATTAATATATTGTGTTTAACTATAATTAAAAGCCTGATAAGTTTCTCTTGGCATTATTTAAATAGAAAAATGTGTATTACAATTTTTTCATCTGTCTTCTTTAGTGTTCTGATTAGTCAAATTCATACATGCCGTACTTTTTTTATGCAGTTTTTTTTCATATAATCACATAAATATCTTTTATAGCAGCAAACAGAATACTGGAAATTAAACCAAATAACGCAAAAATATTAAGACATCATAGAGTAACATATTATTTAATTAGATAAATACGAAGAATCATTTGCACACTTGAATAAAATTATACATAGACGTTAAGAAGGCAAGGATTTTGTATCTGGTGCAGATGTGCGATCCAAAAATAGCTAGTTAAAAATGGTTAAATGGAAATAATGATATCGAAAATTGTATTAAAGACTTTCAGCATAAAGCTACTATATATTTTTAAAAAAAATCAAAGTTGCACTCAAAATGTCTAAATCTCAAGATTTTCAGATAATGAAAGAATGACAAGTTACTTGCAGTTTAAAGTACTCTTACATTATTGTATAGGAACCTTATTATAAAATAATTATATATAGCAAAGTTATAAACTTTAATGAAAATGATAACAGTAGAAAGTAAGCTTGTAGAGGATTATGACCGCAAAGAATAGGTAGTTAGAAATGTTCATATAAAACCAGGTTTTGTATATGAAATATAATATTCAACCAATCAGACTACTTAAGATAGACAAATAGAAATTTTGGTGTTATAATTAAATATATTAATTTATATTGTTAATTTAACAGTATTAAAAATAAATACGAAGATCAATACACACCTTCTCCTGACCAGGAGACAAGCTCAAGCTCAACTGTAGAGTTGCATAAAAGTATAATATCACAGGTCTATAAACGGACATATATAGAACAGCAAAGCGAGTTTGACACGTATTTAATGATACTACTTGTGAATCAGCATACAGATATTTTAGAATAGTGGTGGGTGAATGAATCTACTTATCCTAATCTTGCAAAATATGCTAGAGATTGCCTTCCAATTTCTGTAACAAGTGTTCCAAGTGAACAGATGTTTAGCATAAGTGGTGATATGATAACTGAGAAAAAAAATCAATTGGATAGAAAGACTGTGCGTGCAGCAATGTGCTTGAGATCGTGGTAGAGAGAATTAGATTATTAACATATATTTATATATGTAATATCTGAATCAAATTTTTTTTGTCTGATTTTTGCAAAATTAATAAAATTTTTTTAATACTTTTAATGACTAGTATGTATAAATATCTTGTTTATTATTTTAATTTAATAAAGATTAAGTACATAGAAAAAT